AGCTCAGCAGCCCCCTCTCCTTGCCCGCGACGGGCTCCCTCCGCGCATTGCCAATCGAGACGCTGCTGCTCACGCGCCCGAGCCTCCACTTGGCGATGCTGCTCCAGCCCCGCCTTGAGCCGCTCAGACACGGTGCGCTCGGCACCCAGCGCCCCCAACACCTCGCAATGGCACTCCATGTGACGCTGAACCCGTTGATCGGCTCGTCGTGAGGCCGTGCCCCAGGCTCGGTGGAGACACGAGGTGCGTGGGCATTTCGCACTGAAGCGCGCGCATCTGCTCCTGCAACTCCTCCACCTGCTTGTCACACTCCGCCAACTGGTGCCTAACTGCAGCCTCCTGCTCCTGCTCCTGCGATTGCGCCCGTCGGCCACGGATACCCGGGTCATGGCGTAACTTCTGCTGCTTGTCGATCTGCGCGCCAAAGTCTCGAAGCCGCTGTCCGAGGGGCGAGCAGCCGCGGCTTGCTGCGCAGCTCCGCCTGCTCGGCGGTGCACGCTTCCTTGGCCTTGAGAAGGTGCGGGTCGTCGCAGGAGTTGACCGTCTTGAGCAAGTCAAAAAAATGAAGGTGAAGTACTCGGCATACGATATGGCTTGAACGCACAAGCCCTTGCCTTGCAACTGCGTAATTGAATCACGGCTGCCCCCTCGGGCCGACACAGCTGTAACAAAACCGCTGATACTTGCCCTGCTCCGCGCGGTAGTGCGAAGGCGACATGGCGGTGGCGACGGGAGGATAAGAAAGGCCTCAGTGTACTCTCCGCCGTCAGCGCGGGACTGTAAACGACCGTCCTGTCCCACGCTGGTGAAACAAGATGTAGACATGGGCGAACAGGCCGAGTCGGACGGTGGTTAGGCCACGGACTAGCGGTATCCGTGGGGTCCCGCGGGGAACCAAGCATCTTGAGTCAAAAACTGCTACGGACGCGGGAGGGAAGAGGACCAGAGGAAACCCAGGATTCGCCAACGATGCTGCATTACTCACGCCCGTCCCAAGTCCCCTCCTCACACCTTTCTGCACGTATTATTTTCCAATGCGGGAAGCGCCCCCTTGAATGGCGAGCGAGCGCCTGGTGGGCACGCCACTCAAGCGAGGCCCCTTTTTGCAAAGGCTCCCCAACACTCTTCGGACACCACCAGCCCTCGATCCTTGTAGCTCAGAACTTCGGGATGACAAATGTTGAGGAGGTCTCCGGCGAAACGCCCAGCCCGGCCCTGCGAACACGTCTGGCGGTGCGACATGGAGCGTGTGCCACGTGTCCTGAGAAGGAAAAGGGACGGAAGAGGGACGAGAACGATTAGGATGACAAGAAGGAGGGGGGAGGGGGATCGGAGGCGGGCTAGTCGCGACAACGGCAGCTCTCCCGCCAAGCGCAAGCCGCTCAAAATCCGTCCGCCGCCGCTGTCGGACAGCAGGATCCATCCACGGACCCCTCCCGGGGTCCGTCCCGACCTGTTTTGCGATGCGGCCCCAGCGATGGCGACGAGAAGCACGCAGGAGGCATGGAAAGCAGGAAACGAGCCTGCGAGGGCTTGCGCTGTCTCGACCAGGCCCTCCTCCGATGGAGGGAACCCGCGCCAGGCCTCCCTCCCAGACGCCCTCCACGACGACGACGATCTCCTCCTCCTCCTCCTCCTCCTCCTCCTCCTCCTCCTCCGCCTCCTCCTGCTCCTCCTCCTCCTCCTCCTCCTCCTCCCTCCTCCTGGGCGTCCAAATGCGGTGTGGTGACGGACCGTATGGTGAACTCGGGATTCCCAAAGACCTCACCTCAAGTTCCGTCGCCGCACCAGACTGGGACACTGGAGGCCCCAATCGCCCGCGATATCCGCGGAAAACGACCCACGTCCCAAAACCGCGAGGTCACTCCGAATATCCGCTGGCTCACGAAACGGTGTCGTCAACCCACCGTTTGGGGGCTCCCGATCCTCCTCCTGCCCCCTCCTCGCACCTCATCCTCCAACTCCTCCTCCTCCTCCTCCTCCTCCTCCTCCTTCCCCCTCCGCGCCGCACGTCGCCGCTGCCGCCCTCGTCGTCGTCGTTGTCGTCGCCACCGTCGCCGCCCACATCGTGGTGGTGGTCGTCGTCGTCGTCGTCAACTACATACGTCGTCGTTTTCGTCGTCTTCGTCCTCGTCCTCGTCGCCGTCGTCGTCGCCCCTGAGATCAAACGTCCTCGTCGTCGTCGCTCCTGAGATCTGGTTGTGCAAGATCGCGACCAAAGCCCTAGACTCCATCCTTCTGCTAAATTCTGCGCGCCGGAGCGATCTGGGATGATCCCGAAAACGAATTGGGGCAATTGCGACGCACACATCTTGCCTTCGTCCTCGTCCTCGACGTCGTCGTCGTCGCCGACGCCCTCGCCGTCGTCGACGTCGCAGTGGTCCTCGTCGTAGTCCTCGTCGTCGACATCGTCTTCGTCGTCGTCGTAGTTCTCGTCTTCGTCGTCTCGTCGTCGTCCTCGTTGTCGTATTCGTCGTCGCCGTCGTCATCGTCGTCGTCGCCGCCAACGCTGCCAACGCCGCCATCGTCGTCGTCGTCGTCGTCGTCATCGTCCTCGTCCTCGTCCTCGTCATCGTCTTGGTCGTCGTCGTCGTCGTCGTTCTCGTCCTCGTCGTCGTCGTCGTCGTCGCCTTCATCGTCGTCGTCGTCGTGGTCGTTGTCCTCGTGCTCGTCGCCGTCGCCGCCAACGCCGCCAACGCCGCCAGCGTAGTCGCCCTCGTTGTCGTCGTCGTCGTCGTCGCCACCGCCGCCGCCGCCGATGTCGCCGCCGTCGTCGCCGCCGTCGTCGTCGTAATCGTCGCCGCTGGGATCCGTCGACACGAAGAAATTGCAACATCGCGGAAAATCGCGATCAGAGCCCTAGACCCTGTCTTCTTGCTGCATTTTCGCGCCAGATGCATCTGGGATGGTTCCGGGGCCCGATACGGGACAACACGCCCGCCGTGACAAGTTGCGACGTCCACATCTCGCCCTCACCCTCTCCTTTGACGTCGTCGTCGTTGTCGCCGTCTCACTCGCCGTCGCCGTCGTCCTCGTCGTAGTCCTCGCCGTCGTCGCCGTCGTCTCGTCGTCCTCGTCCGTCGTCATCGTCGTCCTCGTCATCGTCGTCGCCGCAATCGTCGTCATCGTCGTCGTAGTCGTCGCCTCGGAGATCCGACGTCTCGAAGAAATTGCAACATGCAGGAAATTCGCGATCAGGGCCCTAGACCCCATCTTTCTGCTGCGTTGCCGCGCTGGATGGATCTGGGTTAGTCGGGGGGCCCAAAGCGGAGCAAAAACGTCCACTGTGAAAATGGCGACGTCCAGGTCTCCCCCTCGTCCTCTTTTTCCCGGAAAGGGCGCCGGCCCAGGGTTCTCTTTTAGTAGGTAAACCTGTCCCCCGGTGCCAACTTGAAGGAGGCCGGCGGATTTTTTCCCTGATAAATATCGAGGTCGAAGGAGGCCGGCAGATTAAAATTTGAGGATGTCTCGAGCGAAACGCTTGTTTTTCAGAATTTGTTGAGGATGTCTCGAGCGAAACGCTGGTTTTGCAGAGTTGGGGATGTCTCGAGCGAAACGCTTGTTTTCAGAATTTGCTGAGGATGTCTCAAGCGAAACGCTGGTTTTGCAGAGCCGACCGCGACGCGGAAAAGCGCCCCGCGCGAAGGAATTTCGATGATGTCTCGACTAATTCGTTTGTTTTTGTACGATTTCCTGGAATTTTGGCAGGATGTCTCGAGCGAAATGCACGACCCCACCCTAGCACGACCATACCCCAGCACGACCACACCCCAGCACGACCAGACCCCAGCACGACCCCACCCCAGCACGACCCCACCCCAGCACGACCATACCCCAGCACGACCACACCCCAGCACGACCCGACCGCAGCACGAGCACGCCCCAGCAAGACCACACCCCAGCACGACCACACCCCAGCACGACCTCACCACAGCACGACCACACCCCAGCACGACCACGCCCCAGCACGACCACGCCCCAGCACGACCACGCCCCAGCACGACCACCCCCCAGCACGACCACCCCCCCAGCACGACCACCCCCCAGCACGACCACCCCCCAGCACGACCACACCCCAGCACGCACGACCACACCCCAGCACGACCACACCCAGTCGCACCCCCGTGGAATGTTTCGTGGCGTGTCTGGTTGAGTGGTTGCCTGTTCGTGGGGTGTCTCGTGGAATGTTTCACGGGGTGTCTCGTGGAATGTTTCGTGAGGTGTCTCGTGGAATGTTTCGTGAGGTGTCTCGTGGGATGTTTCGCGGGGTGTCTCGTGGGATGTTTCGTGAGATGTCGCCCAGTTGGGTATCGTGAAAACGTGACCATGCTGCACATGTCTTTATCCCTTTCCGGGTTCGTGGGTCCATCATGTTTATGTCGTGGTCGTCGCCGTCGCACTCGCCGTCGCCGCCGTCGTCCCCGTCGTAGTCCTCGTCCTCGTCCTCGTCATCGTACTCGTCTTCGTTGTCATCGTCGTCGTCGTTGTCTTCGTCGTCGTCGTCGTCCCTTTGTCGTCGTCGACGCCGCCGTCGTCGTCGTATCCGTCGCCGTCTTCGTCGTCATTGTCGTCGGTGTCATCGTCCTCGTTTTCGTCGTCCTCGTCGTCGTTGTCATCGTCCTCGTTTTCGCGGTCGTCGTCGTTGTCTTCGTCGTTCTCGCCCCATTTGTCGTTGTCGTCGTCGTCGTGGTCGTCGTCGTCGTCTCCAACGTCGCCGTCGCCGCCGCCACCGTTGTCGTCGTCGTCGTCGTTGTCATCGTCGTCGTCGTCGTCTTCGTCGTCGTCGTCGTTATCTTGTCCTTGTCGTCGTCGTCGTCGTTATCCTCGTCCTCGTCCTCGTCGTCGTCGTTATCCTCGTCCTCGTCGTCGTCGTCGTCGTTATCCTCATCCTCGTCCTCGTCGTCGTCGTCCTCGTCGTTGTCGTCGTCGTTATCCTCATCCTGATCGTCCTCGCCCTCGTCCTCCTCGTCCTCGTCCTCGTCCTCGTCGTCGTCGTCGTCCTCGAGGCGCTCGGCCGCCGCAGGGGCGCGCCCGCCCTGCGCCGCCGCCTCGGCGCCCGTGGGCCCCGGGAGCCCCAGCGCCGCGAGGAGCCGCACCGCGGCCTGCACCGCGGGCAGAAGTCAGGGCCCGCTCAGGCCGAACTCGGCCAGGCCGAACGCGGGCAGACCGAACGCGGCCAAGCCAAGCCCTGCCAGGCTGAACGCGGCCAGGCTGACTTCGCCCCGAGTCCAGCTCGGCCCGGGCCTGGCCGAGTTTCGCCCGCCAGGGCCTGGCCGAGTTTCGCCCGCCAAACCTTTCCCTCAGCCCGCAGGGGGGGCTGACTGTCCAGGTGGATTTAGAAGGAACAAACTTAGATCTCTGACGATATGATGTTTCCACTCGCTTTGGGTTTCCGAGGCGCGTTATCGAACCCCGGGGCAGGGCCGCCAAAGTTGGTCCTGGGGCACAGGAGCTACGGCTTGGGAAGGGGTCGGGAGCTCATGGGCCGCGGATGGTCCCATGGCGACGCCGTCGCGAGGCCGTCAAAGGATGAGACACTGGCCTTAGGGAGGGCGGGGTCGAAACTTCTGGTGGTCCACGCCGCGGTGAGCCATTCGATCCAGATTTGTAAAAAAAGGGTTCGCTGCTAGAACCAACCAGGCACTCCTTGCCACGGCCAGCCGTCAAAGAGAAGGGATGGGCGGGCGGGCACACTGAGAAGGTCCGTCAACGCCCGCTCACACTGCAAGGGTGAGCGACGCGCCTCATCTAGGGAGAGCTTCACCTTACAAGGGGTGCCTATATTGGCGCAGGTGCGAACGGCGATGCTCCGCTGCGGGGTTCAAGGGCGCACCCTCGCACGGCAGGACCAGTCTGCATCCCCGCTCGCTCGAAACACACACCGCGCCGATCGCAAAACGCGCGCTGGCTAGAGCAGCGCAACTCGTGGCCGAACGCTTCCCCGCGCAAGGCCGGCGGGATCAGGTGCTCCCCCCCCTGCTCCACGACGAAACGGCGGCCCACCCGAGTCTTCCCCCGCGCGCGGCCTGCGCCCCAGGGCGCTCTTGGCCTCGGGGAACAAGGTAATTCTACAGCACGCATCACATCTCCAGGGGCCCCGAGACCAGACGGGGGCGTGAGCCGTCTCCCCCTCTGGTTGGCCCTGGCGGCGCTGACGGGGCCGGACGGAGTCTGCGGCGGGCACCCCCGTGGAATCCTGACCCCCCCCGTCCGAACCGCCGCCCCCGCCGCCAGACTGAGCGCAGCCTGCGCCTCCCCCGAACGGGGGGATCCAGATGCTTATTTTCAATTGAGCGCCTGCAAATCAGTTCCCTCCTAAGCCTCAGCGCCGGCTAACTGGTCCCCGTGGACTGCGAAAAGTGCCTTCTGCGAGCTGGCCCGAGGCCCTCGGGAGTGGGCCCGAACCTTCGCCGCGACGGAGTCGCCGCCCCCGGGGAACTTGTCCTGGGGCAAAAACCAGACGCGGGCCCAGGGATCGGCGCGAGGCCCCCCGGGCGAGCAGCACCACTCACGGCCCCTTTTTACACTTCGGAAAACAGCGCCAGCGTCGATGCCGACACGGAGAGGCGGGGCAGCGCATTCCAGGGCCTTCACCAGCCCAGATCTCCGAACACGAAGGACTGTCACCCGGCACCTGAGCCCGGGAGGCGGGCCGCGCATGGCCCGGACCGCGCGGCCCGCCTCCCGGCCCTGGAATACACGGCCCCTGCCGAAACTCCCGAGCCCAGGAAGGCCCTGCCCGGGCCACCCGCGCAGGCCCCGCCACCAGCGAGCGGCGGATTTTCGAAACTGAGACGGGGCTCCTCCCGGGCAGGCGTGCAATCGAGGAATGGGGCCCCCCAAAGCCAGGGGGCGTCGACTAGGCCGCGAGAGAAGAGGAGGGGCTCCGAGGAGGAGGTCCCGGCTCGATGCGCGACCCCATTGAAGGTTCTCCGCCTCGGCTGTCTCAGCTCGAGCGGCTTCCTGATTCGGGCGGCGACGCATTCGGCGGCGTCGGCGTGCGACCTCGCACCCGCGAGCTCGGCAAGACCTGTCGCCCCCAAATCCAGCGCGCCAAGCTTTGCCCTGCGCCCGGAAATCGCGCCCGATGTGCGCCAAAATATCCGATCCCCTCTACGGGGCCCCGAGGCTCCTCAAGCCGGCCCAGGCCGAAAGCTCCACAAACTCCAAGCGGGCTAAAATCAAGATTTTGATGCGGGGGGGGTGGGCGGCTCGGCGCAGGTCCCAGAGCTCCCCCCGGTCGCCCTGAGCACAATGGAACACAGAAAGAGAGGACCAGCTCCATGACGGACGGCGAAGGGCGGCAAGCACGACCGAGGCGGAACCCTGTAAACTGCGCCAGAGGCTGCGACCGGGCTTCGCCTGGACCGCCGCGACTGAGGTTCTCCTCCACAGCGTCCTCATTAGATCCCCATGGCGGCCCCCCCGCGCGGCCGATGCCCATTTGAGCAGGGGTCGGGCGCAGGCATCCACTGGGGTGGTCGCATGTGAGAATCCAGAGACGGAGGGCTCGATCCTCCCCGATCGGACTTCCCCCGAGGGCACTGGCCATAAGGATGCGGGCCTGGCCCATCCGAGAGTGGCCCAAGCCCAGACATGCAGCGCCGTGGAAACCCATCCGACCGGCGCGCCTGGGCCCCTGCTCGGCTAAACTGCACAATTGTGGCAGCGGGCGCTAGTGGGCCTCTAGTCAAGCCCACGCCCGGCATGGACTGGGGCGCCCCCAGCAGGATCGACCCCTTGCTGGGAGCTGTGGCCCTGGAAGTCCAGGCCAATGTTCTGGGCCCGACCTCGGATTCGCACCCTGAGAGAAGCGCTGGAAACCAGAATGGCACCACTGCCCAGGGGGCCGCGTGGCCTGGTCCTGGACGCTGGGGCTTCGGATCAATGCATTCTCCTCCGAGCCGCTGGCCTGGAAGCCGGGGTCATCTGCGCATGGTTTGAGGGTGGGGGTGGGGCGCGAGCGAGAAACGATTCTCTGGCCGTCAGGATGGCTGATTTAAGACGGCGAAGCCCCCCGCCCCACGCCCTCCGCCGCCCCCGCCGAGACGGCGACCACCGCGCGGGCCGAAACGACCCCCTGAAAGTCACGAGACGCTCGCCCGCGCAAATCGAAGCCGGAAGCTGCCGCAACTGAGGCGGAAAACCGTGCGCGGGCGCCTCGGCCAATGGGAATTGCACGCGACACGTTCGAGAACTTCGCGGGGATCCAGAACTCCCGTGCCGGACGTCTCGTCGGGAGGGGGGGGGGCCTTCATGGGGGGGGGGGGGGGACTTCATCCACAAGCAAACGCTGCCGCGTCACTCTTCGGAGCCGCCCTCGGGGGCAGCGAAATCGCAATCGCGGCGAATCGGTCGCTCCCAATCGATGAAGGAACCTCGCGTGGGCTCGCTCGACTAGCCCACCATTCGCAATGAGCAGGCCGATAGGCCTCGCGCCCCCCGACTGGTTGGATAGCGCAACGTACGGCACGGGCCGCAACGGCGGCCAGAACATCCGCGCCCCCGCCGCTCAGGAAATTCAGCCACCTAGGATGCCAACAGACAACTTCCACTTCCGCGAGCCCAGGGAAGGCTCGACAAGTCTTTCGGATATCGTCGGAAATTGGGCGGGCAAGGCCGCGGGGGAATTCCGCGCGCCCCCGTGGCCCGGCGATCTCGCCGCGGCTGTCAACGCCGTGGGGGGCCCGCCAGGCGACCCAGTCCTGGGCGGCAGTGACGACGGCCACCTGTGGGTCGGACGTGTCCAGGTCGGAGTGGCCCCTGGCGCCGACGGCTGGCGCCGCGCGCTGCTTCCTCTTGGGCGCGAGATGGACGCAGCCTGCGCCTCCCGGCGAGCCATCTCGCAGCCTCTCGCGCCGCGCCTTGGCCTTGGCTCGCCGGTTCTCCAGGGCCCGCTCGGCGGCGAAGCCCAAAGCTGCCGCGCGTCTCTGCAGGTCCGCGGCGCGACGCGCGCCGCCCTGCGAGGCGCCCCCCGCCCATCGATGGGCTGCGAGGGCCAGGGGCTCTCGATGGATTTGATCGGCCCCGGCCCGCCTTGGCCCAAGGCGGCGCGCCGGCGGGCCGCCCCGCGAGCGCGGCGTCGACGACGCCTCCGACAGCGGCTCGCCAGGAGCCTTGCCGGCGCGCAGCGTCGGCGAGGAGGACGCGGCCCCCCGCTCCGGCCGCCGTCCGTCGCCGAGCACGAGAGCGGGAGGTGCCTCAGGTCCCCGCGCGGGCCTCGGGGACCGCGAGGGGGGCTCGGGCGCTCGGGCCCGCCGAGGGAAGCCACCGCGCCGGAAGAAGTCGCCCTCGCCGACCAGGTCGAAGATGCCCTGCAAGTCCTTCTCAGCCGCCGCGGCGAAGTCTGGCCGAATGCCCTCCAGCTCGGAATCCGGGCACGGCGCGCCAGGGCCTGGCCGCGGCCGGTCTGGCGGGGCCCGCCGCCGCCCCGCGGGCAAGCGAGCGGGGAAGGCGACTGGCTTGACCAGCCGCCAGCCCGTCACGATGCGGAAGGGCCGGTTAGTCTCGAAGCTGACGGGGCCGTGGGGGTAGGCGGCCGCGCCCGCCACTTGAGCGCCGGCGAAGGCGCGAGCGTCGCGAGCGTCCACAACGAAGAAGTCGATGGTCAAACCCCCGCCCCTGCCCTGGCAGGTGACTGCGTCGGGCGCGTAAACAATGCCCCCGACGTCGTGGCGCCAATCGCTTGCCTGGAGCGAGTCGAGCACGTTGTCGATGTCAACCTGCAAGGCATTCGGGATGTCGTAGGCGCGGACCAGCTCCCCAACGGTCTCAAGGATGGAGAGGCTGCGCGCCGCCCACCCGACGTTCACCCAGAAGAAGGCCGTGACCAGCGCGCGGCCGCCCCCCGTAAAACCTGCCGCCCACACTGCTGCCAGTCGCCCTGGCGAGTCTGGTGGGGGGAAGTCGAAGGACAGAGCCCCCTCAAAATAGGTGAGCCCCCACTCCCGCTGTGCGACCACCCCTAAGCCAGTCGCCGCGTCAGTGAGCCCAACAGCGAGCTGCCTACTGTTGCAGGCGGCCCTGGCCTCCCCCACGTGCAGATTCGAGAGCTTGTGCGCCTGTATGAACAGGGTGGTGTTCCGTCCCATCGACATCCCAT